GCTCCAATGCTTCCAGCAGACACCTTGCGACGCAGAACAACCTGTGGAGTGGCCACAAGATTGGAATGAGACAAGCAAAGCGTCCTCGGACGGATATCCCCAAACAATGTACTCTGTTGCGAAGGGACTCGACGTCTCAGACGTTAAACTTTGCATCAACACATCGCATCTGTACGATTCACAAGGGCTAAGGATGTACAGGTCTTTGATGAAATAATTGTCCAAGTTGGAACCTTGCACATTGAGACAGATGAGAACTATGGCGTATGGTCATTTCCCCAGCTTGTATTGAGACTGAGTACTCCTAAAGGTTGGTTGAAAGCAATCAGATCAATCAGAGGGTCATGATCCTAAGCTCACATCTCTATCCAGACCAGGCGGTTTTTGTGGAAACTTTTCGTATTGGGAGATTCGAAGTTGACCTAGATCTCGGGTCCTTGAGAAATCACCAACTGGCCAAGGAATGGCTTACAGAGTGCTGCCACGATCATGAATCATGTCTCTCGCGTCAGATACATGAACTTCCGAGCAGAGTCATCGATGTCGGTAGCTCCCCGAACGAAGGCTCTGTTCGTCTGCTTCTCTCCCATGGCTTGAAAGCAGACTACGTTGCCCTGAGCCACTGCTGGGGTGGAGCGATATCGCCTCTTTTGACAACCGAATCAACTGCCATCTTCCAACAGAACATCGATATTGAGGTATTACCGGCTAACTTTCGTGACGCTATCACAATAACACGCCATCTTGGTATTCGCTATCTATGGATAGACTCTCTGTGCATACAGCAGGATTCGAAGTCGGATTGGGAGGTCGAGTCTAAGAAAATGGGGCTGGTATATCGAAACTCAACGGTGACAATCTCAGCGATGGTTTCAGGGGATAGCAAGTCAGGGATCCTGAAAACCAGCCAATCGGCACAGAGCTCCGATGTCTCCACCACTTTGCACGTCTTTGGAGGCAATAACGACGCATCTAAGGTCACCATGAGACGGAAGAATCTACAGGAAGAGAACCTCATGTCTTTGGATAGGCGCAGTGCGCTGGCAGAGCGTGGGTGGACCCTTCAGGAGTACATTCTGTCTCCAAGGCATCTCTTATATGGGCAAGAGATGATCTACTGGAGATGTCCTCAAGGTTTCAAATCTTCCGATGGCTTACCGCCAGGCAACAACTCACCGCACACGATTTACGAAGATGCTGCACAATTCATTTGCTCCGACATTCCACGGCGTCCTACAGCAGTACCACCCGATATTGACGCCATTTTTCGAGACTATTCCGAGCTTGTCAACGCGTACTCGCAACGAAAACTGACATACGGCTCGGACAAGCTGCCCGCGTTTTCCGGTCTGGCCCAGCGACTTCATCCGGCCATAGGAGGTGAATACTTGGCTGGAATCTGGACAGCCAATTTCAGACAAGGCCTGCTCTGGACAGCAGAGATGAAATTTTGTCAGCACGTCAACGAGCCTTATCGAGCACCGTCATGGTCATGGGCTGTGACTGATGACCTGGTACTTTTTGAGGGCCCACAAGCGGTTGAGGAACAGGTAGTGCTGAAATCGACTCCATCAAGCGCCAGACTTCTGGAACACAGCATCAACCCTAGAGTCCCTGACAACCCATACGGCGAGATCAGATCAGCAAAGTTGGTGGTGGAAGCCTTGACGAAACCATTCGTGCGGAGCCGTCAAGTGGTCGAGACAATTCTAGACCCGAACTCGATTGGAACTGCCAACTTTGATGAGCCCGCTGGTCCTGAAGACTCGGTTCCAATGGGCTGGGCGAGCCTTTTCCGTATGAAAACAGAAGGTGGAGACTACATATTCAGCATCATTACTCGTCCGGGTGACGATGCTGATTGGGAAGTCGACTTTCATTACTTTCGGGAGGAAGACTATCTTTTAATGCTTGTTTATACCGACGACGACGTAACAGAGGATGATGAGACTGAGTGGTCGAGATCGCCTGCGTTCTGTCTAGTACTCCGACGAACCACTGATGGGTCTGAAGAAACGTACGAGAGAGTTGGGTTCGCAAAGTTGCAGGAGCCTAGGCTAAGATGGCTCAAGACTTGGGAGCGATGCGTTTTAACACTCGTCTAGGAGAAAAATCAACAACAAGATATTCCTGTCTTCCTCAATGCAACGTTGGAAACGCAACCCGCGGACATGTGAAGATGAAGTCGGCCCACCCCCGGAATCTGCGCATGAGTCGTAACCGCAGGAAAACGTCGGTGTCATCCGTGACCCTGGTCATTGCAGGCCTGTCGAATCCCGCCTGTGTTTCCTATTTCTCTCATTCTCCTCCTGGGAACCCCAACAATATTGCGACTCAGATGCGGGGAAATCGTTTGCCAAGTTTAAAATCCGACGTGGTTTCTGCTCCGGTTCGTGTGGAGAAAAACATGGCCAGATCGCGGGGTCGCATCACACATTTTATAAGCGCCCGACTCGGAATCGCGCGCTCTTCTCAAATGCAACCTTCCCCCGGTGTGCGCATTCGGCTGATTCCCCCGCGTTGTTTACCCAGGCGCATCCGCCCGTTCGTCTTGTGACGCGCATCCTCGGCGCGGAGCTCGGTGGATAACCTACATCGGAACGATATTTCAATGGTGCGCGTAACAGTTGCGATGACCTCACTAATGCTCGACTCAAGCTATCCATGCCGGGGAACACGGGGCCGTGCGGGGAGGATGGTAGCATTTCGCTCTTGGCATCAAGCTATAAGACGAACACGAGTCGTTCGACGAATTATGCTTAAATACTGGTTCAAGATGCGATGATTGAGACTCTCTAATTGTCCCGGCCCGACCACGTCCATACATTGCAGCTCCAGTGCAGCCATGGCCTCCGTTGCGTTCACTCTTCTAACGGCGCTTGCCAGTCGGGCTTCGGCCAAGACCGTCAAGACGCCGACGCCTCAGATGGGTTGGAATAGTTACAACTACTACAACTGCTACCCGAACGAGACGATCATCAAGGAGAACGCTCAGGCCGTCGTGGACACCGGTCTCGCGGAGGCCGGGTACTCGACCGTCACGACGGACTGCGGATGGCCAGCCAAGGACCGTGACGCCAACGGAGAGCTCGTGTGGAACCCGGCCCTCTTCCCGTCCGGAGGCGCTAAGGAACTCGGCGACTACCTCCACAACCTCGGCCTCAAGTTCGGCGTCTACTCCGGTGGCGGATACTTCCAATGCGGATCCACTGATCAGCCTGCATCGCTGGGTATGCAAATCATCGTGGCTGCGAGTGATTGACTGGAGTTAACGACGATTTTAGACCATGAGTTCACCGATGCGAAGTCCTTTGCTGCTTGGGGCGCGGATATCCTCAAGTAAGTATAATCTCTCGAACTCAAGGACGATTCTGACAAGGCCAAAGATACGACAACTGCTACCCCATTGACCCTACGGTGATGGTCGACTACGTCTCTGAGGAGGCCATCTCCCCGGACCGTTTCGTGACGATGGCTGAGGCGATGAACACCACCGACCGAGACATGGTCTACCAGGTTTGCCAATGGGGAACAGGAACCGACCTGGGTGTTTGGTAAGTCGTCACTTACCCGCATTTGTCTGCTGACATTGACGGAAGCTAATTTCGCATGCAGGGTTCCCAAGATTGGAAACAGCTGGAGAATCAGCAACGACATCTACAACAGCTGGCGCAGCATCTGGCGCATCACGAACCAAGTCGTCCCCTTCTACAAGTACACCGGCCCTGGTGCCTTCCCCGACATGGACATGTTGATGTGAGTGGTCTGATGATAGTCTGCCTGACATCACCGCGGAAACTGACTGTAGCATTTCAGCGTCGGGCTCAACGCCTTGTCTGTTGAAGAGGAAAGGTTTCACATGGGCATGTGGAGTATTAACAAGTCGCCCCTCACTCTGGGCGCCCCGGCCATCCCCGCCCTCGTGCCGGAGCACACCTTGTCCATCGTCGCCAACAAGGAAGTAATTGCAATCAACCAGGATCCGCTCGCCAAGCAGGCCCAGCTCGTCCGCCGCTTCACCGAGGAGGAGTGGGACGTCTGGGCCGGCGAGCTCTCTGGCGACCGCCTCGTCGTCGGCATCGCGAACTGGAAGAACGACTCCCAGGCCGTCAGCTTCGACGTCGCCGACGTGCTGGGCCTGGCCTCGGCCAACGCCCGCGACGTCTGGGCTGCGAGTGACGTCGGCTCCATCTCGGGGACTTACGAGACGACCCTCGTGGGCCACGAGCTCAGGCTGCTGGTGCTCTCAGACCTCTCCAGGGCGGAGCCGGTCCACAGCTCCACCGGGTATTACACGGCCACAACGAACGGTACGCTGTCCGGATCAGCGGCCGCGGTGGCTTGCGGCAGTGGTGGATGTCTGCCCAGCGGGTCGAAGGTGGGCAACATCGGGTCAGGGGCTGCGGTCAAGTTCGAGGGCGTCGAGGCCAAGAGCGAAGGCAAGAAGTTGCTTGGCGTTGATTTCATCAACTACGATGTCGCCCTCGACACTGCCTGGGGATTTGGTGCCAACGTCCGCAACATGACTGTCTCTGTGAACGGCGGCACTGCTAAGCGGTGGGCGTTCCCCATCTCTGGAGGCAACTGGTTCGACAGTGGCCGCTTGCTGGTCGAGGTTGATGGTTTCAAGGGTGATGACTCCAACACTGTGGAGTTCAAGAACGTCGGCAGCGAATGGGCTCCCGACTTGGTCGGTTTCGAAGTCTTCGAGTCCGCCTAAGCTTTTGAGCAACGTCTTTTCTTCTTTGCACATTATTACAAAAGGCCACTCAAGACAATGGTCGTCAGCGTTAAGGTAGTTCCTAATCATATTGATCTGCCCACCGAGAGTCCTGTCTTTACCACACGGTGACATTGTACAAAGGAAAACATTGGTGCATTTGAAAGTACATTAATGGGGTATACGTGTAAAACAGCATTTTAACCAGTGCATGCCACCCAGTCCTCCAGTCGTGTTCGATAATACCATAAGGTCAGTGCGTTGAAAACGTCGGTAGTGGTCAATTACTCTTCTCAAGCGAGCGAGAACGAGGGTGGCCGGGGTTGCCAGTGAGCGAGTCTTCGTCGTCGATCTTGTAGAAAGTGCTGCCGCTGCCGGTGTCGTCGTGTCCCGATCTTCCACCAAACGAAGGAGTGTTGGAGTGCTCGGGCGTCTGGTCGACTCTGATTTCAACGTCGACTCTTCGGTGGATTCCGTTCGCGCTCTTCGGGATGTTGTCCAACTGCAGTTCGGCGGGAACGGCTCCGACGCTGGCTCGGTGGTAGCTCTTGAGTCCTGCATCGTGCTCGCCGCGGTTGGCATCGTGCTGTGTCGTGCGGTGGCCGCGGGAGTGGCCTTGGGAGTAGGAAAGAGAGTTGAATCTGAAGCCGCTGTCTTGATCCTTGGCGAGCCGGGTGATGAGAGACGCCATGGACATCTCAATGTTAAGCTTGACCATGTAGGCGACGGGGTGGAACTGGATGAAGACGACTTGGTTGGGTAGCGACATGAGTCCGATGAGCATGCCGTCCATAGCGATAGAAAGAATCATGAGCTTGGCGTTGAAGCCGACAAGGGGCTTGTATTTCACCAGACCATGCTGGCTTAGGAGTCTTGTCTTGACGATGCGCAAGAAATACCAGTTGAGACCGGCATCAACAATCAGGATAAGGACCTTGGAGGTGCGATCCCAATAGTGGTTGATAAGAACGAAACTGCGGGGATGAGGTCAATATCGTTGAAGGGTTCGTCTTATAGTTAGGTTAACTTACGTGTCATTGACGGGAGGGGAAAGATGGGATGGAATCCAGATAATGAAGACGGCTATGTTGATCACAGTGATGAGCACTGCGGTTCCCCATTTCAACCTCATGATTGTCTTCTGGCTTTCCGCAATGACTGCGATTCGGTTGATGATGATTTGCATCAACAGTTGGACCTCAAAAACCCAACAGAAAAGGATGAAGAACAACACCGGCACCCTAGCCAACCAGAGTCAGTATGAAATTTCTCAACAGATATCGTCTCGAATAGACGTACGTTGGTCCTAAAATCCCATCCAAGAACAACCAGCCGATGACTGTGATGACGAGGTTCGCCAGAATCTCACCCCACATCATGTAGATGTATGAACTTCGAAGCGGGTTCCGGTTCCTCCTCGTCTGCTTCATGGCCTCCCATACTGTCAAGAATCCGAAGCCGATGGTGAAGCCGGCCGCCAACGAGGCGATCTGGTAATCGACCTTGGACGCCATCGTGAACCGCCGTGAGCCGGAGTCGTCGTCGTCCTTGTCTAAGCCGAGTATGTGTACGGTCGATGTTTCGAGCTCGCCAAAGTCCTGCCCGGTCGTCTCGAAGCTTCGTGGATACGCCCGGTATGCGAGAAGGGTAGGTCCGCAAGGCGAGACCGGTGGGATGTCGTCAAGACTTTAAACTCTAAAAGAAGGGCCCCCAGAGTCCATGTCGAGTGGGAGAGGCCACTCTTAAGGCTTCATGCTTCTCCAAACAGCAGTGGGCTGCGGATCGTCCTCGCCCAGTTTCCATGTCCCACTCTTTCCCGGAGTATTTACTGCATGAGTCTTTCTGACTACACCTCAGTGTGAGCCTGTGGCAACAGCATGGCAAGCTTTTGTTTTGGGTACGCTGGAAAAGCAGTCCAAACGGCCCCGGGCAGCCTGGGCCGCGGGAAGCAAAACCCTTAGCCGACGCTGGAGTGCCTCGGTGGACTAGCTAGACCCAGATGGAACCCACATGGTGACAATTGGTAGTGTCATCCTTAGCCCGACGCCACAGCGCCGTAACGTCGGAGGAGCCCTTCACTACGACGCCGTAGTGGCAGAGAGGAAAGGCTTGCGTACTATTATGGACAGGGTGGTGGAGGGATATGAGACGACAGGACCTGCAATCGACACGCCCTTCCTTGATATCTCGCCGTTCCTGCGTGCATGGCACGTATTCTAGCGGGCAGAAAAACCAATTAAGGTAGAGGCCGATGGAAGACCTCGGCCGCCAAGGGTTAGCCTGAGGACGGTAGCAATACAGCTTCAGAAACCTGCAGGTGTCACAGTCCATTGGCCCGAAGACAAAGGATCAACAGGCACAGCAGCCGTGTCTTGTCTTTCGATGTGCCGTCATCCCTATCGTTCAACTGCCGGAGGAAGGTTTGCTGAAGAAACCCAGACGCAGATCTTGGAAAAGATCAAGTCACGCAACAGACGGACGGGGGCCTTTCCAGAGGTCCTCCTGGAATGCAACTTGGGGTCCGGAAATACAGGCATCCCCTTTCCGGGGGTTCAGTCTTGTCATACGCGCAGCGTGGCGGGCATGGGTCTTTCTGGGTCCCGCTAACAAGAATCTCGCGAAAAAGGCGGGGAATATTAAAAGGAGACGATGGGTCAACAGTGTCGATAACTCCTTCACAGTAAACTAATCAGCGAGTCACAGCACGAGATTCCGGTGTCCTGCTGGAGACGGGTGCGAAAAATGTGTTCTGGATCAGCAGAGATCGGCACGGGTTCCATGTCTTGATGGATGCAGCTGAGGCCGTGCGCTGCTCTGTTCTTCACGCCAATGAGTTGACAAGTGATCAAGGTCGCATCATGCCATCTGCCACATCTGCTTTTTTAGAGTGGGCGGACAGAGGCTCAACTGCTGACGTACAGTAGATTACGACGGGAGACCCAGACTGCGATGAAGAAGACAGCATCTCCCGGTGAGACGGTCTCCAGCATCTCCAGATGCAAAGTTTCTTCATCAAACCCACAGTAGCACTAGAATGAAGCGGGAGAAAAGACTCCAAAACACCCGGCTCTCCTGGCGAAGACACCGGCCAAACACACCAACGAACCACATCCTGCAAGAAACCCCGAACAGCCGTTCATGCGCATGGGACGTCTTCACCCTCGTGCGTTCTGAAACGTGATATCTCCTGCGTCCCAGTCGTTCTGCTGGGCCACAGGGCCGCATTGTTCCCTCCCGGAGATATTTTCCACGTGGGTGAAAGCTTCGACCTAGTATCAATCAGGACACGAGAGCCGAGATAACCGTCAATCAGAGTGCGAGGACGACCGTTCTCCATCCGAGGAGGTAGCGATGTAGTAATGGCCCTTCGCCTTTTACCATCGCCATTGGGCCCCATACTCTGTGCGGCCCCCAATGGAAATTTGAACCCGCCAAGATTAAGATGCCAGGGGCCGAGAAGCGAGCGAGAAGAAGGCTGCCACAGATCTCCTTTTCCTCATCATTTTCTTCTGCACCGTTTCCACTTTCTTCAGCGCAGCATGCCAGTCAGTGGACCGACCGTAGACGACGCGCATCATGAAATGCGGGGATGTCGCGCGCTAATGACATGGGAACTTCGACGCTTCATCTCTTTTCTCGCCCTTCCTCGTCCATTCATCTGTCAACTGAGCAACATCGTCCGAAGAAAGGATAGAGCGGCTCGTACCCGAGGTCTAGCGACATAAGGTGGCGGTAGAAAGAGGGGCGTCGAAGAGAGCTGTCCCTCTTCCGACACTAGGCACCGGGCGTGGCGTCAGTCGCTTGAGCATCCGGCACTATTCCCACTTCGTCCCCGTCGTCCGTGGCTTGTCTCGATCTGCACTGCAGTGACGGTGATTCGGTGAAGAAACCCCTCCAGAACCACGGTTCCAAACGCAAAGATCCGCGTTCTGCAGCAACTCGAGTTCCGCGTTCGGAAAGTCAATCGGCATATAAGAAAAAGGTTGCAGCTTGTCACAAACCGACCAAAGCACACTGGACGAACTATTGCGAGTCTCGTGACCGTATCCGTATGCCCCTGCGACGGCGTCTAGTGCGTGTGTGGGGAGAGTCTGGAACTCCCGAGCTATGAGCAGACCTCTGGTACTATGGCCAGTCATCATCTTGCTCTCGTCTGTGTTGTGTAAGCGAGCTGAGAACCGGCGCACTCTCTCCGGCAGGGGATCCTAGGGCGCGGACGTCGATAGCTTCACAGCTATGCTTCATCTCCGTGCTGACAGCTTTCTAGTGCGGTCACGAGGAATCACAGACGCGAGAGGAACGCGAGACGGTGTTGGTATGATGGTATTTTCTTTTCGCAATTCCGCAGTTCGCCACTTCGCCCGACTAGAAGCTGAATAGAATGTTCGACCCAGAAAAAGCACACGTTTGACCCCGCCGAGAACCGAAACTAGCATCAAAACTACTGACATGAAAGGTGCGGGATGCTAACGGAAAACGGGCAACAGAACCAAACCAAGCGCAGCCCTCTCAACACATGAACGCCCTGCTCATCAAAATATCCCCTTCTAAAACCCGCTGAACCACATCATGCACCCGGGACATGCGCACAAGTCTCTATAATCCTCCAAATCCTTTGACGGGAAATGTAAAGTTGACGTGGTGACTCTCGGTTTTCATACCGCCCGTGTATGCCGCCTTGTTCGCCCTCCGGCTTGCCTCGACCCCCGTCCACCCGATGACCGCGACGAAGGTCCTGCCGCCGTTGCCGCCACCGATGCTCGCACTCCCGCTTGCCATGCCGCTGCTGCTGCTGCTTGGACCTCCTCCGGAACTGTTCCTACACAGCGAGAACCCGCTCGCTACGCCGTTGCACCCGGGCATCGCCTTCGCTCTCTCGACGATCTTGCGCATCCTCTCTTCCGGCTCTCGGCAGCCCTCGAAGCTCAGCGTCTCGACGATGGGCGAGTTGATGACGGCCTGCGGCGCGAAGGGCTTGAACTGCAGGAGGTAGCTCGTGGGTTGTCCGCTCAGCACGGGCGCCAGCTTGGCCATGGCATCGGCATAGTCCCTCGTCCTCTTCCAGGCCTCGCTTGCCTCAGCGTTGATCCAACCTAATCGCGGAAGCACAGTCACATTAGCTCGGCGTCTTTCCGGTCTCTCTCTTGCCTACTACGGCAACTTTCCCCGGTCGTTGATCGGCAGGGCTCGCGCGCAACGGTTTTTGTATCCCTCCCCGCCCCGTCCTCCTCCCCGGGCATAAGGAGGTTGTTCACGTACCAGCGAGGAGCTCCAGCTTCTGCGGATCTTCGCTCCATGGGCCCCATCGAGTGCGGAGATATCCGGGCTGGTTCTGGAGGACTTGAAGCATGGACTTCAACTGCTCTTTCCAGTCATCAATGCCACCCTTGACGGGAATGATTACACGCTCGGTGACGGCGTTGGCAAGCTGGGCGGCAGCGGGATCCATCACTACAAAGCTGCGTCGTGCGTGTGTATGTGCTTGACTTTGCTTTTCGACGGCAGGACCTTTTCTCGTCACAGTCTTTCTCCTTTTTTTTGCAATGAAGCTAAATGAGGCAATGGGCAGATGACTTGAAGTTGATTTATAGTTGCTGCTAAGCTCAGACAGAGACAGCTAGCTGGAGACGTCCGGATCCTTTTCTGAGGTAGTGTATGTGGTAATCACGCATCCCCCTCTAGAGCTGATGTGGACACAACCCTAATCTTAAATACCTACAGCTCAACGAGAGCGAACAAGACGCGACTGGATCAAGGGATTGGTTCCAACGCAGAAGTTTAGTCTCAGTCCAAGGTGTGTGTGTGATGGGTGTGATGGGTGTATGGCGTGTGGCTGTCTGAAGGGAAGGGGATCTTGGCTGATGACGTTCTCCCGCTCAGCAGAAACGGTATTCAGGTTCGCCCGACAATCTGGCACCGCACTTCGGGATGTGGCTCACGAGCGCAAGGCCGTCGGCGTGTCATATCCCGCCCTCCCTTTGTGCCCAACGCAGTTCGCAATCGTGGGAACCCCCGATCAAAGCTTCATGGGGGGTTCGCCAATGTCCGGCTCTGCCTGCTGCCACCGGGGGGGAAATAAGCTCAACGCTCGCACTTCGCAACATTTCGCAATCGCAACGATACCCGGTGACCGAGGGTCGTGTGTGGTATTGGTATTGGTATTGGGATTGGGCTCCTATAGTGTCCCAAGCTCCCTTTCGTTCTGCTGGGCCGAACAGCCGACGAACCCCAAAGCAGGAAACGTTCTAGAAACACCGCGCAGTCCGCTCCGCGCCGACAGAGGATGGCCGATGCGAGAATTCTCCAACCGCTCCTCCGGAACTGGCCGCACCCCGGTTCAGTCCGCCCGCCCGCCTGTCTTAGGGCTGCGGCTTTACAACGTCAAGCACGCCATTGGGTGTGTGGCAGGTTTGAAAGAGAACGCAAGCAACCCAAAATCGAGATGGGACGAGTGCAAGAGAAAACGAGAAAAATAAGCGTAATGTGTCGGTGTCGCTGTCGGTGTGTGAGAGAG